AACCACAAATACGACAGAACTGTCTGAACACCTAGTAGCTCACTTACAGCTTAGAAATACTTGAGGGGCAGCAGCACACGCACACTCACAAGATCTCAAGAAATCAAGATGGAAGATGGGATGCTCAGGGACACTGTGCTCATGGACCCCAAACGGGAAATGGCTCCAGAGACACTTCTATCAAACCATGCCAGCACGGTGGCACCGCGGGCGTAGTGCCCCTGCCATGCCAACACCCCACGTCAGAGCCTTCACGTCCAGGCTGCTCTGCCTCCAATCCAGCTCTCTGCTGTGGCCTGGGACAGCAATAGAAGATGGCCCAAGTCCTTGGGCCCCTGCACCCATGTGGGAGATCCGGAAGGAGCTCCTGGCTTTGGATCGGCACAGCTCTGGCCGTTACGGCCATCTGGGGAGTGAACCAGCGGATGGAAGACCTCTCTCTCTCTCTCTACGTAACTCTATCTTTCAAATAAATAAAATAAATCTTAAAAAAAAAAAAAAAAAAAGAGCTTGCCAGAGAGTGAGTGGGTTTTGAGTCCCTGGAGTTCGCCTTGGCAGCGCCAGACACAAGGATTTTGCAGGCCTCTTGCAGCCCTGGTGCGGGACAGACTGGGGTAACTGGGAAGTCAGAGCAGTCAGGCTGGCCCACCGCAGGCAAAGGAGGGGCCTGAGGAGCTGGGGAGCCCAGGGGCACCCTGGGGCGCGTTCTGGAGCTTCCATGCTATGCACCACACTGGTAAGTAGGCGGGTGGGTGATCAGAGAGATCTCCCTGCAGAGCTGTGGAGAGGGAGGGGAACGAGAAGGGTGTGCTTGGGGTGGGGTAAGGGCCCTTGCAGTTGAACACAAGGCGGGGACGCTAGATGGGAGACACGGCACCTTCTGGGCACACGTGGAAACACTCAGTAGGTGTTTGGGAACCCACAGCTCAGGGAAGAGGCTGAGGGTAAGAGCTCCGGAGCTGGGGTCCATTCTGATTTCAAAGGTAAATGAAGCCAGGGGCCTGATAAGGAAGACCCCAGGCCCAGAAGGTGGAGCAGAACTTCTGGGAGGCGGAAGGTGGAGGAAGGCTGAGGGATGGTTTTAAGATGGGAGCTACTAAAGGTATTTAAATGCTGATGAAGGCAGGAAGGAGACCGGAGAAAGTGAGTAGAGGAAGACAATGGAGTGGAGATAATGGGTAGGAGGGTCTCTGGGAAGGGAGGAGCCAGGATTCCCCTGGAGAGAAGTGCTGAGCCTGGGGTAGGCCACATCTCTTCTAGCAGCTTCCAAAAGGACTGTGGAGCCCACGCACAACAGAAATGGCAGATAGAGCCGAGGGGCTAGGCTTGGGGCAACACGCAGGAGCAGTCCCCTCCAAGGGCTTCTAGTTGCTCAGTGAAACAGGACGCAGGGTCATTGCTGAGAGTGACACAGGGTGACAAGGGCCAGGGCTGGAGGTCCAGCTGTGGAAAGGACCCCGGTCTGCTCCCCAGAGGCCACCTCCGCAGTCAGTCACTCATAACAAAGACTCTCATTCCCGCGGGTCAGAGCCACAGCCCAGACCTGGCGCTCAGCCCTCCCAGCAGCTGGGCTCTGCCGGCCGCAGAAGGGGTAGACTCCCACTGCCCCAGTTCAGGAGCCTGACGGGTGACCCCAGGGCTGCCTGCACAGAACAGCGGCTCAAAGGCAAGGAGAAGTGGCTCCGTCTCCTAACCACCAAGCTCATGTGTCCCTGAAGACGGACAGAGGAAACAGAACATAATCAGACAGACGTAGACTGTTTCACAGTAACAGACTGTCCTCAGCTACCCTGCTTCCCCAGGCTGGCTGGCTGCCTTTGCCAGGTCTCCTTGTCCGCCTCCAGGCTTGGCCAATCCTCACTAACAGGCATGTGGTTTTCTTTAGATAGACCGGTAAACTCAATCACACGGACACGCGCACGCGCGCACACACACACACACTGTCTCTCCTTTGCCTGGAGCCAAGCGTTCCTTCAGGAAGGTGCCTTTGTCTATCTCTGAGCTCATCTATTCCCAGGTGAGTTTCACTGCAGCCCAGACAACAAGCTCCCTTTGGAGGCAGAAACTTGGGATGGGCACTTAGCATGCAGGTGGGGCTGATGGTAGCCCGGCAGCTGCTTCCGCCTTCCTCAATGCTGCCCTGCGGATAAATGCACTTTTTTTGGGGGGGGGGGGGTTGCAAAGACCCAGATAGTAGATGCTTCAGGCATTGCAGTCCAAGTCTTTGTTGCAAGGACTTGGACTTCATTTGTCAAGTCAGCCATAGACAATATGCAAATAAACAGGCATGGCTGTGTTCCACCCCACAGGTGCCGGCTGCAGCCCTCCAGGTTTGGTTCCTCCCTTCTCCCTCCCCGGCCCACCAACCACCCTGCACTAGCATCTACCACAGCCAGACACAAAATAAGTGCTCAATAAATATTGCAGCAGACTCTCTGGCTGAGGGCTTTTCCAAGTCCTCTGTCCTACAACATTGCCCCCCGCATTGGTAGAACCACTTCATGGAACAGACTGAAGGGATGGGGAGGGGAAGGTGGGGTGTGGGCTAGTGGGATTTTCAGACTTGTGGATGGCTCCTTCCATGAGCAAAGCCCTCTGTTCAAGTTCCTGGGCTATTACATGCAGCCTGAATGCTCTCCCAGTTTGAGGAGGTGCTTGGGAGACCATGCCATAGCCTGCAGCCTCGTTTCCAGGCCCTTGGGGACAGAAGCCATGTCCCCTTCCCTCCTGTGGCCTCTCTGCACTTTCCCCAAAGCAGCTGTGCAATAAACGCTCAGTTCTTAGCTCGTGCCTGTGGCTGTCCAATGATAGGTAGTTGTTTCCTCCTTATACTTGTCCCATTTTTCCAAAATTTCTGCAATTAACGTAAAACCTTCATTAATAAAACAACCAGAACAACCCATCAGTCCCTGTTTCGGATTTGAAGCTCTTTTCAGGTTGGAAGCATGAAACTCAGCTGTGGACAGGGTAAGAAGAGGCCGGGGCAGTTCAGTGCTGACGGCACAGATGCTGCTGTTTGTCTTTTGACTTCTGCGAAGAGATCAATATCCTATTCGTGGTAGCAAATAATTAAGGCCATTTACTGCGAGCTGAGAAGGCTCTCGGGCACCCGGAGACCGAAGGGGTCTCTGAGACCACACGCACCAGCCCAGACCATGGGACCCGGGACTCTCCTGCTCACTTAAGAACAACACGGGAACAAGGGAACGTGGCTGCTCCTAAAAACAATGCTTGATCTCAAAGAGCCAAAAACCACGGCACGCTCACCACGACCGTGGCCCAGTTTGGAAAAAAGAGTGCTGCTGTTGGAGAGACAGGAGTCGGTTTAAACCTGCAATATTCGTGAAACATCCACGGATTTGTGTGAAAACCATCGGAATGAGGTCCCCAGACCTGGCGAAGGCAGAAGACAGGATCCCCCTGCATTTCAAAGAGAGATGCGGGGCCTTGTCTCAGACACTGGCAAAAAGTGCGATGCGTGATGCAGCCACAGTCCTGCCCTGCAGGCTAGCGCAGTGCCTGATGAGGAGTTTGAGAAACACCTGCTGGACAAAGACGGTAATGGGGTGACTGGGGTCCGGGGTTTTAGGGTTTACTCTTGCACTGTTTCAATTTCCACCATTTTTTTTAAAGAAAGCAGTCACTTAAAATATTCTTTATAACTAAACCAACGATGTAAATTTTGCTAAATCGAAACAATAATTCAGTGATTCAAATACAGGTGACTACAGAAGCTTGTTCTTTAAAGATAACTTATATGCCTGTGCTTTTAGTAATAATGTCTTAAGGGATAACGATAGAGCAAAAATAATAAGGGCAAGCATTCAGTTAGCACTTACTGGGTGCCAAGCAATATTCTATCTGCTTTGTGTTAACTCCTATCTTCCTAACAGCTCTATGGGGGGCAGGAATGATAGCTTACTTCATAAGCAACCGAGGCCCAGAGAGACGCCGGGGCAGCAAGGCCCAGGTTCAGCCGGGAGGCAACGCACCTCATCAGCAAATCCGCAACTAGCCAAGTCCAATCCGCAGGCAATAAGCAGATCGTCATCTGAGGCTGCTTAAATAAATATCTCCTGAATTAATATACAGAATCATGCCTGGGAAGCTCAGCCTGGGGGGAGGGGGCACCTCTGGACACCCAGGCAGGGCCCTGGATGAGGGATCTGACGTGGGGCACGGCAGGTGTCCCTGGGGGACGGTGTCTGCTCGCCTCAGTAACCTGCAAGAGCAGCGAGTCCTGTCCATCCCTCCCTGGGGTCTAGAACAATGCCTGGTGCTTACAAGTCTCAAAGGACACTTGACCGACTGCACGAAAAGTAAACACCCTGCCCGTGGCCCATGGCAGCCAGAGTCAAGGCTGCCGCGGGTGGAGCAGCCTGTATGGGCCGTGAACTTGGTAACAGCCTTGGGAGGGGCTGATCCACCAGGGCCCCCAATATTCCTAAAGGTGACTTCACAGAGGGACCCACCAGCCCCCCCACCACCCAGAGCTCTTGCACACATTCGCAGTCAGTCCCCGAGGGGAGAGGCGGCCCCTCACTCCACAGCCAAACACGACTCAGCTGGTAACACACAAAGACCTGCAAGAGAGGCCCACGGAGGATCCAGGCAGGGGACTCCCTGCGGGGAAGCCGATGGGCCTTGGTATTTTGCAAGGAGACAACATCCACATCTTACTGGTACAATTGAAAAAAGATAAAAACAAAGTCTGGAATCACAGGGCAAACAATGCTACTGGTGCTCCCCACCCCCCTCCAAAAACGTAAAGCGTTTGAGGGGCACACATGCGTCTGTGTGGCTTGGCTTGGGGCTTGGGGCCCTGAGGCCGCTCCAACCAGCCCTGCAGCTGGAGGGGGTCTCAGCGTGAGAGACCAGGAGCCTCACAGGAGGGGGCACTGTGAATCCCTGCTCCAAGGGCCCCCGGACCTGGCCGCTCGCTTCCGGGGACCCCTGCACCCTGCACCCCGCACCCGGGCCCCGCACTGCCCACCACGCACCTTGGATGGTCCTCTTGAAGAAGGCCTTGCAGGCCTCGCAGGAGGCCACGCCGTAGTGGTAGCCGGAGGCAATGTCCCCGCACACGAGGCACAGGCGCTTGGGGATGGCATTGAGCATGTACTCACACTTGATGGCCGAGTCCTCCATGAGACCGGGAGCACAGTCCTCGTAGCCCTTGCGGCACGGGGTGCCTCCCAGCCCTGCGCCTGTGAACATGGGCGGTGAGTCCAGACCGTTGGCGTGCGTGCCCAGGGCCAGGCCGAAGCTGCCGCTGGCGTCGGAGGAGCCGCTGGGGCTGTGGTGGCTGAGGGCGTCAACGCCTGAGGACGGACTAGAGGGCTCGGTCTTGATGAAGGAGCCGCAGCTGGAGCCCAGGTGCCGGTCCTCTGCGGACATTCTGTTCAGTAGCCTGCGGACACAGAGCGTGGGAAGTCAGCCTGGGCGGGCTGGGGGCGTGGCTCTCGCCCCAGAGGTAGGGCGGCTGGGAGGGGCCCAAGGAGATAACGCTGGCCTGGGCCTGGGCCCAGGGTTTCTGGCATTACCTCCAGAACCTTCTGGGTCCTCCAAGAACTGGATCAGTAAGCTTCAGATGAAGGATGCTTTGCCAATTGCTGATTCGAGGGTGACACAGGGGCCTACAGTAGAGCAGTGCCACGCCCCGGGCACTCGGCACAGTGTCTGATAACCCACTCCCAGGCACCCTTTGCCCAGGATGGTGGCCCTGCCGGGGCACGAGGCAAGCACACCTGTGGAACTCTCCTCGCCACCCTGCCGTCGCCCAGAGGTGCCATTGCATCTGGCCAGGGCTGGCCATCAGCTGGAGGCCAAGGCCAAAGCCAAGGCATCTGGATTTTGCCCACAGTGCATGCTTGGTACAGGAGGACACACCTGCAAGGCGTCCCCCTCTCTCATCTTCTTCCTAGCCCCTGAGCGGCCGGCTGCACCCAGCCCTCTGGCCCCGAGAAGATGTGCCCCCCTCAGAAAGCACGGGGGTCACCCCTCCCACTCCATCCTCGCCTCTGTGCTTCCTGGTCTCACCAGGAAAGTCAGGGAGCATTGGGAACAGCCACTTTCCCGGAATTAAAAGCCCCTCCTCCCAGACCAGGCTGGGTGGGGAAGGAGGCCAGCTAGGGTGTGATTCTCCTGCATCCCGGCTCCCAGGGTGAAGGCAGGAGACCTGCCCCTCTCCCAGCAGCAACGGGGAAAGCAGCTGAACTCCCAGCAGGCGGGGTGAGGTGTGTGCGAGGGAAACCCAGCCGACCCCCCAGCCAAAGTAGGGATCTGAGGCAGGAGGCCTGGGCTGGGCTCTGTCTGCCCCAGTCCTGGCCACGTGGCCTTCACTGTCTGGGGCCACAGAGAGGAGGCCGATGCCCATGCCGGGGGTGGGGGTGGGGCGCAGGTAGAAGGAAAGCAGGAAGGATCTTGGGAGAAGCGCAGCCTTGTTAACTGGAAAATGCCTCGCGGGCTGGAGGGAGGGCATTAAGAGCTTTGCCGCTGGGGACGGCCCCGCCCCTCCTTTTCTGAGCAGCTCTTGCAAGAAAGGACTGGGGAAGGGGCTGCCTTATGGCACCCACAAAGCCCACCCCACGTCAGAATCCTTGGCCACACACCAATGGTGGGCGAGGGGGTTCCACTGTCCCTGGTCCCACTAACAACCTCGTAGTCAGCATGCTTCTGAAGGGGCTGTCCCATCCATTCCCACTTGACCGTGTCTTAGGGCTCCTGCACTTAGCAAGTTTACAAACTCCTGGAAGGAGTGCATAGAGACAGAGGCTCCTGGTCTCTTCTGCTGCAAACACAAAGTTCCCAAGGCCTCCGAGCCACTCTGTGCAGCCCCGAGTCCTCCTCACATCGGCAGCAGCTGAGGGTCTCCTCCCGGCAGTGCATCTCTGACCAGTGCCCGTCATCTCCCCTGGGCACTGCCACCCAGCTCCCCTCCAACCACCAGTGGTGTGTCCCCAGGAAATGCCCTCAGCCCCGCCGGATGTCATCCAGGAGAGAATGGGACTGAACAGGCACAGGTGCACATGGGGGTTCCTCCCCCAGAGAGACTCCTCCGGAACGCACAGAGGAGAGCTGGGCACCTGCGGGCGGAGTTTTAAGCCCCTGCTACTCTCCTGATGGTTGCGTTAAGCTCTGCTCTTCTCAGAAACATCCCAGGCCCAATGTGAAAAACCCTGCTGGGTGAGACGGCTCCCAGGTCCCTGGCCCTCTGTTCCCAGCCTTCCCCAGGCCCTGTGAAGCTGCAGAGATGTCAGGAGATACATTTGACATAAACAATCATTAGAGCAACCACTATTTAGTGAGCACCTGTTACATGCCACCTGCTACAGATCTGTCTGTGGCGGTACAAGAAGCATTTGCCTGGAGGGCAGCAGGTGGACCATCCCACCCCAGCCACTCCCGGGTGAAAGGAGGCCACAGCTTGCCCAGTTGACTTCCCCCAGCCCCACGGCTCAGTCATGGGAGACCCAGAAGAGCCCACGGTGATGTCCCCAAGCCTTGCTTCCCTCTCTTGACCCACTCCTTCTTGATTCAGAAGGGCACAAAACATGCAATGAGGACGGAACCCCCACCTCCAAGCCCTGGCTCGACACCTGGGGGCCGCGAAGGAAACACACTTGATCCTGACCTAGGTCAGGAAGCTGGCTACTAACAGAGGGCCTGAGTCCCAGCACAGGGGGATGCTGATGTCATTCCTCCCGCTTCCTCATTTCTGTGGCCATGACTGTGACCTCCCCAGAGTGCCTTTTCCAGGGGCAGTCAACACACACATTTGGGGCACCTAGTGCAAGCCAAGTGCTGGCCACATGACAAAAATGTGGCAGGCACAGCCAGGACCTCAAGAAGTTTATGCTGTTTTGCAGAAATGACAGACAAAACACGGGGCTGTGTGGACGGCATGCTGACAGGGCCACCCCTGCTGCGTCCTTTGTCTCACTTCATCCATCCATCCATCCATCCATCCAACCATTCCTTCACTCATCTTTGTAGATGGCAGTGCAGACCCCGTGAGGCCACAGCTTCCTTCTGCCTGCTGCTTTCCCTCTCGGGAGCCACATGGTTGCCTCTCTGTCCCGGGGCTGGCCTGCCGGGGGTCTCCTTTTGTACCACCTTATTTTGTCCCCACGGCCTATACACTGGACAGTGTTAGCCCCAAATTGCAGAAGAGAGAGCCTGGAGCTGAGAGGTGGCAAAGGTAGGGTACCAATGTTCTGCCTGCACGTTCAAGTTCCCTGCTCCCCGACACCGTCGGGCAGAGACCTTGTCCTGACAACCCCCCGGAAAAAGCAGACAAAATCTGCCTGCTGCCAAGAGCTCCCAAGCCATCTTCACGGCCATTTCTTGACCCATGATGTATTAGTGCAGAGGGAGGGGGCTCAGGGCGCTTCTGGGCCACCTGATCCAGGCATGGGGAAGAAAGTTCCCCTGGGAAGCCTGCCCGTGCCCTCCACCTTCCCTTGCCCTGTAGGAAATCACTCACACATCCATTCACAGCAAAATGTGAAGAGGGAGAAGGAGGGCCAAGAGGAGGACCTGGAGTTATGATGAGCGAGCCAGCCGGCGGGCAGCAGGATTGCTGCGGCCACAGTCACGTGAAACAAGGGGGCAGGTGCCCACCACATTTAGTGCTTAGGAGGTGGCTGGGGGCCTTCACCAGGGCAGGGTGCTGGCACGGTGGGGACGGAAACCACCACAATACAGTGAGCTGGCTGTGAAGGGTGGGGGAGGGGTGCGGTGCAGGTGCGTCCTGCACTTGGAGGTTGTGGGTGTGGAGCAGGAATGTCTTTGTTGCTGCTGTCAGAGTCCTCGGCTCCTTTGAGGAGGAAAGCGGGTGCTGCAGGTTTAAGGAATGTAAGGTATTTCAGGATTCCCGTGTCCATACCTGCCACCTGGGGCTCCTGGTCCCACCTACTGACCCCGTATCATCGCCAATCACTCCCCCCTTTCTCTCCACCGAGAAGATAATGAATTGCAGGCTGAGCATCCCTTATCTGAGTTGCTTGGGACCAGAAGTGTTTGGGGTTTCTTTGGATTTTTGGAATATTTGCATTTACATAATGAGAGATCTGGAGGCTGGGACCCAGATCCAAACATAAAATTCATTTGTTCTGGACACACCTTGCACACATAGCCTGAAGGTTGTTTTATTCTCTTACTTTACTGGGGGGATGAGGTTAATACTTTATTCACTTCAAAACCTTTATCAGGGGCACAGCTCAGTTCTGGGGAAGGGGTGGCCTTGGCCTCCAGCCTGGGGAGAGAGTATCTCAGTGTTCACTCCTAAGGGAAAGATTTGGGCCACTCTGAAGGCAATTTTACACCGTATTTTTAAAAATAATTTTGTGCGTGAAACAAAGTTTCAAGGCGAAGAATTTTCCACTTGTGATGGCATAATTCTGGAGCATTTCGGACTTTGAATTTCTGGATTAGGGATGTTCAGGCTGTACAGCGTCCAGCACTCGTGGTGATAAGCAGACCTGAATGGAAGGGCTGGCGGCACGAAAGATCAACGGCCAGCGCTTCTCAGCCGGCAGTGCCGCCCTCCCGGCTGGCCTTGGGTGGAGGGGCCTGGGGATCTGGTGGATTCCTGGGCCTGAGCCCCTCCCATTCTGCAGGTGGGGCCCAGCCAAGGCATGAGCCTCAGGTTAGGGTACCACTGGGCTGGTGGGAATCTGAAAGGCACCTGTCCTGCCGGTGGAGAAGTGTAGGCAGGCAGGAGGGAAGTCTGTAGTCCACACAGGCTCTCCGGACTTCAGAAGCAGAAGTGTGTGTGTGTGTGTGTGTGTGTGTGTGTGTGTGTTGGGGGGTGGTGGTGGTGCCAGAAGCAAAGGGGAAGGCCAGGGGGCAGGGGGACAAGGGACGTTTGTCATGGCAGATGTGGGAGGAGAGCGGAGCAGGAATCGGGGCACAGGGGTAGTCCACTCTGCAGGGCCAGCAGAGCCCGGGGAGCCTCTGGGGGCTGCCCTGTGATTGTCGGGTGTTCGCTACCCCCCAGATGTTGCTGAATGTCCCCCCGAGGCCTCCGCTGCCCCAGTTGAGGACCACTGGCTTGGATGTGTGTATGGCGGGGGGAGAGGGGGTGGACAAGAAGCCCGGGAGCTGAGGGTTGGACACAGGAACTCAGGGAGAACAGGGTGCAAATAGAAAGGGGGCGTTGGGGGATGATGGGGGCGAGGACAGAATTTCCGGAGGGGTCAGTGGGAGGGAAGAGCCAGAGCAAGGATGGGAGGGGGTTTCAGTCCACGGGGTGGGTGGCTGAGATGGTGTCCAGGGAGCGCGTGGCCTCGGGGTGGGGTTGGGGGTGGGGGTAGGGGTGGGTGGGCTGCCAGCTGTGCTCCCAGGAGGATGGCGTCAGGGCGAGGCTGTCGTCCGCGGCTGGCTGGGCCCCAGTTCCCCAGTGGATCG